GTCCTTTCTGTCTACAATGTGGACTTTGCCGTCTTTAAAAGAGTGGCCTTTGTCTTTTAAATGCAGATGGATTGCTGAATCCTGATGGGTTTGTTCTCCTGTGTAGTGCTATGCATTTATGAAGTGGTTGTTTTGTTTCCCCAACATACATGTCGTGCCCTTGTTGGAGTCTGATTCTGAGGGGGGAGATTGAGCAGCTGACAGGGAGTGGGAGTGTGGCTCCGGTGGAAGAAATGGGGGAAGGGCACAGTCCGGCTGGGCATTCAGACCAAGTCCCAGGGCCACCCCCTCTTCATCCTAGGGGACGCAGGGAGGAACGGAGAAGGGAGCAACATGGTTTATGGGAGAGGAAAGGGCCCTGATCCTTTTCATTAGTTGCAGCTGAGGGAACAGGATATAAGAAAGGCGTTTGCACACAGCACCTTGTTGGAAGCAAAGCGTGCATTATCTTTGTCGAGGTTAATCTTGGTTTTGGTGTCCTCCCAACTACGTGTGCTTGGTTATCTTTCGGAAGTCTGCAATTTATCATACTGGCCTGTTGTGTTAATTACTTCAGGATGGTTTGTGTTGGTTTTGTTATTTCCAATTTATCTTTGCTTTGGTTCGGATTGCATTTCTTTCCTTTGTAAACTGTTTTTGGGAGGGTTTTTTCTCCAGCCGATGATAACTGGACATTGGGGGCCAAGTTGGAGGTATTAAAGGGAATTTATCTGTTTTTGTGACTTTGTTGCTTTTGTGCCACGCCCCGGGTCATCACAGTACAGATCTGCACAAGGCTCATTGCATTGTACTGCATGTACCACGTTGCTCACTTTGTGTCTGGGTGCTTTATCCTTGGGGTGGACAAGCTTCTGGGTTGGTGTATTATTGGGTTTGAAGTGTGCCCATACGTTGTGCTAGCTGAAGATCCTCCTGAGCTTTTCTGATAATCCTTTGAAATGTCTTCCAATATTCCTTTAAAACATCTTCAAAGAAAAACCATAAAGTCCAGTTGTCTTGTGATGACCCAGGGTGGGATATCAAACAAACAAACACAGTCACAGATGAAACCCCTTTTATTCCTTAACTTTGCTTCCCAGCTCTGAATATTCTTGACGGAAGATAAAAAACTCCCACGCAAACAGTTACAAGAAGAAGGAAAAAAGCAACACAAACCAAGCAAGATAAGGGCTGAAGGAAGTCCACAGATAACACACACTGGGAAGGACGCCAAACTTAGAGAGGAACTATAAACTAGAGATATTTCAATGCTTTGTTTCCAGCGTTCGTCGTACGCAAGTCCATCCTCTTATTCAGTTGTCACAGCTGCAGCCCATGAAGAGGATCAAGGCCCTCTCCTCCCGAGTAGACCACGTCTCTCCCTTATCCTCTCCTCCCTGCATGCCCTAGGATGGACAAGGTATGGGCCTAGGTCCTCCTCTGACTGCTCAGCCAGCCTCTGCCCTTCCCCAGCCTCTTCCACAACCTCCGGAGCCACACTTCCATTCCCTGTCAGCTGTTCCTCCTCTCCCTCAGAGTCAGTCTCCACCAGGGGCATGATATGTCTCTTGAAAAAACACCTTTGGGACAACCATGACCCGGATGACTGAGAATCTCCACAGACCTTCAGTTAAAAGAATACTTTTCACTATAAATGGAGTCGAGGGTCTTTCTTTCTTGAATATCCAATCTGGGACAGGTCTGACAAAACCACACACAACCAGGCACCATATAAATACAACATGGAGCCCAGGGCTCACATTCTGGAGAAAGAGACGTTCCCTGAGGATGGGCCCCAGCACAAGCCTAAAAGCTTGGAAGAATGGAGTCTCAGTTTAGTCTCAATAGAAAAATACGGCCATAGGGAATTCTAGCTGAGGACTGAGTAGAAACTGGGAGAAGTTACCCAGAGTGGGCGGAGCTTAGGCTAATAAGCCTTTTACACAGACTCAGTCCTAAAGAAGAGTACCCACCCATCCTGACCTGTCGCAGCCTTACAAGGGAGAGCCCCAAAATTCTGTAAGCACCGAACCCCCACCCTTTACAGCAGGACCTTACCTGCTCTTTCTCCTGGAGCACTGTAGCCCGTAGCAAAAAAGCCAAAAGGGAATGCGCCAATGCCAAATGCCATGTGGAAGCCCGTGGCTGCTTCAGGGAAACTGCCGATGCCCTGCTGGGGTGGAGAAGGGGAGAAGAAAAAGGAGGAGGAGGAAGGTGGGGGGGGGGGTGTTGCAGATGAACCAAGTTAGTCCTGCAGAAGAACCAAGTTAGTCCAGGATGAATTTGGGGAAAGGGAGTTACAAGCAGGCAACACTCACCCCTCGCGACTCAGGCTCCGGGCGCTGCCCTCGAGGTCTGGGGGGAGTTTTCAATCTGCATGATGGAGAAAAAAGGCAGGATTATGCCCCTCCCGCCTCAGTCCTGCAGCTTCTCATACCCTCCAGTCTTTGGATTAGTCCAATACATCCTAGCCAGCAAAGGAATATATATATCCCTGCTCCAAAGCGTTATACAAATTACAACCAATAAAAGAGAATTTTTTTGTAGTTCAGAGCTGCTGAGGGGATCTGAGCTTGGTTTTTTTCCTTGCAGATGTAAACAGAGAGCACACCTTGGTCCTTGCTAGCCCTGAGGATGTTATCTTGTTGGTCTCCAAGAAGACAACAACCAAACTCAGAGAGCCCCGAGGACCCCGCCAACTGCAAATTTACAGCAAATGAAGGAGAAGGAAAACATGATTTCTTTCCGTTTCTTTAAGTGGCAGCTGTGTTTGCATGTAGTCCCAAAGGTGCTTTTTTCAAGAGGCAACTGGACTTTCTGGTTTTCCTTTGACATTTCGCTTCTCATCCAAGAAGCTTCTTCAGTTCAGTAGGGAAGGGAGACAGGGATCAGAAAACATCCTGCAGAAAGCACAGCTCCAACTTCTCAATGAAAGACTAAGACAGATTAATTACACAATTGAAGCTTTGAGGGAGAGTAGAACACAAAGTCCAAGAGCTGAAAATCACTTTTACCAACATAAGTATTGGAACAAGTCACACAATTTATGAGGCAAAACTAACACAACACAGGGAGCTGAAGAAGCTTCTAGGATGAGAAGCGAAATGTCTTCAAAGAAAAACCAAAAAATCCAGTTGCCTCTTGAAAAAGCACCTTTGGAACAAGGATGACCTGGGTGACAAGGATGACCTGGATGACTGAGAATCTCCATAGTAATCCTCAACCTACTAGGCCCAAAAATTTATGTTGCTAAGTGAAAAATGTATTGTGAATTTTGCCTCATTTTACGACTTTCCTCAGTACATTTGTGAAATGAATCACCGCACTTCTTAAATTAAGGAACATGGTTAAGTGAATCTGGGTTTCCCCGTTAACCTTGCTTATCAGTAGGTCACAAAAGGAGATCACATGACTCCAGGACACTGTAACCTGGAGGTTTATCTGTGTCGTCCAGGTGGCCTCAACGACTCGCTAAAAGAATGCAAATGACCAACTGTCTGCAAGGAGAATAAATCCTTCCATTCCCCACCATCCAGTCAGAGCTGAAGGAGCGCTTCTTGGGTGAAAAACGAAACATCTTCAAAGAAAACCCAGAAAGTCCAGTTGCCTCTTGGAAAAAAAGCACCTTTGGGACACCAATGATCGTTTCTTCTTTGGCAACATAACTTTAATGTAATTCATTCCATTTAATCATCCCAGATGGGCTACAAAATCCACAAAGAGAATTAAAACAGTTACAGGTAGGCCACGACTTAAAAGTGACTGTTCGAAGCTACAAATGGCACTGAAAAATAGTCGTATTCCAGGTATTCAAGACCACTGCAGCATCTCCATGGTCACATTATCAAAATTTGGACGCTTATCAGCTAGCGGAGTAAACTCTGCGGGGACTCCTTTACCTTTAACCTACTGAAAACACCGATAAAGGGGCACCTAATATCACATGTGGTGGACACACGTGAAAGCAAAGAAATATTGGACAAAAATACACACACGGTTAGAAAAAAATGTTAAAGCTACAAATCGATTATACGCCAGAAATATTTTTTGTTAGCTATAATACCAGAAAAGTATGAAAAGGGGAATTTGTATGTAATATTACATGTTTTGACAGCAGCAAGGACTGTATTCGTACAGTATTGGAAAAAAGAGGAAAGTCCAAGAGAAGAAGATGTAATTTAAAAAAAATATTAGACTATGCAGAAATGGATAAACTGACATTAAAGATAAAAGAAAAAGAAGACAGAGTATTTTTGATCATGGGACTTATTATATAAACGGTTGGAGAATAGAGGTAGAAATTAGGAGTGGGGAAAGTATTATTATGTAAGCAAATTGACCCGGACAATACAAAGCACTTATGTATTTAAAATGAAAATCTATAAATAAACTGTTTAAAAAAAAACCCCACTGATAAAGAAGGGAATCCTTTACCTGGGATCCTGCTGAGCAGAGCTCCCACGCCCATAGAGAGGAATGACTTTGTCCCGGCTGATGCCTGCCTTGCACACAGGACATTCCTGACGCTCCGGCTGAGTTTCTAGCCACTGAAGGGAAGAAGGACATTTATAATGGATGTACACAGAGAGCATATGCACCACAGACGAATTCCTTGTGTGTTGGACAATCACACTTGGCCAATAAAGAATTCTAGTCTGTTCTGTTCTGTTCTGTTCTTTTAAAAAAAAATTTATTCTGTTCTATTCTATTCTATTCTATTCTATTCTATTCTATTCTATTCTATT